GTCTACATTCCCTTGCTTGAGAGCACCAATCGAGGTCACAACTGGATTCATACGGAGGTATGCACTGTACTCGGCAGACGTTCCGACATGCATTCGATTGAGCGACAAGCGTAGCTGGTTGACCATGTGGGTTGTCTCGCGCAGCCCCCATCCCCATTCCATGCAATCTGCAATCAAATCGCTTTCGATGGAGCCAAGTTCGATTAGCTTATTGAGGCCACCAGATTGCTTGGGCTCTCCAGCATACGCGACACCAGCCACAGCACACTCAGCAACGTCCTGCAGTACTGACAGGACACATCCGTACGATCCGCTCGGCCACTGAACGTCTTCATGATGCTCCAAATTGCACCTCTGTACGTGGTCCATTCATCGCTTGGAGGTGCATTCAAGGTCTCGATAAAGTAAACAGCCCATGCTTGCCGCTTGGTCTGTGTGTCGACGATGTACTCCGGGCTTGCAGTGTGTTGCTGTGACGCCTTGTTTGGGCGTCTTTGCTAATTTGCATAGTCGTGGTGTTGGCGCTCTGATAACCTCCAAAGGCTTGGCGGTGCTCTTCGACTTGCATGTTGGTTGTCACGCATACTTCTTGGTTTTGTTCAAACCACTCGTTTTCGCGGCGACATGACAAATTTGAATGATTTCAAAATTTAGTAGGTGTTTAGTAGTGCGATGAGTTTAAAAATTAATCTTCAACTCACTATTGAGAATCTAGTAACCCAAGCCGTGTTCTAGTAACTTGCCGTCATCTGTCGTATATTTTTAATTCGAACTTGTATATTATTTCAAAGGCAGTGGTCGACCTGGATATGGATGCTTTTCAATGCGCCTTAGCCCATAACTATTGCAGTTCAACGCCAATTCCAAAGCCACACCCCTCACCCTACGCACGCTATCATTCCCCGTAGGGTGATCTATTTTGTTTTGTAATTGCAGCTCTACAAAAATAGTTATGGGAAAAGGCCCGCCAATCCTTTGATCTTGCCCAAACGTACAGTACCGGTACACATAACATCGCTTGAGTTGAAGAGTGTATTTCCTCGCTCGAACCCAAAATTGTGAAATATCTACCACTTCCCGTTCAAAAACGTCAAAAAACATTTGGAATGATACTTTTTAAGCAAGTCAAATTCGAAAAAAGACAAGGAAATATTGTGGATTCGGTACAAATGATCCATACCCAAATCACGAATAATCGACACTATTGGCTAATCCAATTTTGAGTGGATTGGATTGGCTCTCACAGAAAGGGCAAGTATATCCAACCAATCAGAGATCCAGCATGATTCAATATTGATTCGACAAACCACGCGAATTTTGGAAGTTTAAAGGCGAATTCACAAAAACAATTGTCCCCATCTTTACACTAACTATTTATGAAAATGTCTGGAAATATATGGCAAAATTCATCGCATCGACAGGGATTGGTGGATGCTTTTTCACGACGAATTGGAGTTTTGAGATGGCCCGCAAGAAAGTCGGCGGCCATCCCACCGGCGACCTCGTCGCGGCCACCGTCTCGGCTGCGTTTCCAGGCACTTTGGTGGTCAATCAGTCCGAAGTGTGTTCGCTTTGGGCAGGCTATGGCAGTATCTACCGCGTGAGGTTGAGCTCGGGGGTCTCCGCGATTGTCAAACACATCACACCACCTCACGACAGTTCGTCCATCTCAAACGTCCGTAAGGTTCGATCTTACGAGGTCGAAGGGTACTTTTACGCCAATCTCACAGGTGATGTTGCTGCGATTCCTCGACTGCCTCGCCCATATTCGATCGTGTCTGCGGACAACTCGTTTTGCTTTGTCCTGGAAGATCTGTCAGTGGAGTTTCCAAAAATGTTCCACTCGCTTGGCGGGCCGACACTCCGAGCCGCGCTCACATGGCTAGCTCAATTCCACGCAACGTTCTGGAACTGCGACGATGGCGGAGTGGCCGACGACGGTGGCTACTGGTATCTGGCCACACGACAAGACGAGTACGAAGCTCTTGGCGGTGACGATTTGTCCGTTAAGCTCCGCGCCCATGCGGCTTGGATTGATCAGAAAACGCGGGATCCCCGATACGAAACCCTTTTGCATGGAGATGCCAAGTCTGCGAACATGCTGTGGCGCGACGAAACGACTTGTGCATGGGTGGATTTTCAGTACGTCGGTCGAGGTCTGGGAGCAAAGGACGTGGCGTACTTGCTCTGTTCCAGCAGCAATCGGTCGGAAGTGGCCAACAAGGCAGACGACCTGTTGCTATGGTACTTTGGCGAGTTTGAATCTGCGATGATGTTGGCAGGCCACGATAGCCGCGGCTACACCATTGACCAGTTCCAAGGACATTTCGACTGGTGTTTGCTAGACTATGTTCGATTCATGGCCGGGTGGGGGTTCTGGGGCAACTACGAATGGGCCATCCAGCGAACCAAGTCGTTGTTAACAGAATTACAATGTTAAGAATTCTAACTCTAGTAGTACGATTCGGCGTAGAATTGAAATTTAGTAGAGTTGCATGGGTTGGAGGAACGGGAGTGACATAGGTGCTGCAGTTCCTTTTGGAGCGCCTGTGGGCCACAATAAAATATCCCCACGGTGACCCCCGGGTGCTTTTGCTCGAGCTCGTCCAAGATATGTGACCACTGGGGCCGCTCGTTGCGAAACTGATGGAGGTGGGCGGCTTGCTCCAAACTGTTGTTTGGTTGGGTTACGTACAGCCGCGTGTCCAAATGTGAGTCGCCATGCGCATCCAGGTCGCGCAAAGTCTCGTCAAACCATTCCAGGGCACTTTCATGTCTCGTGACCCAGTGAAAGTACATTTTCTGCGTGTCACAACGCACGGATGGTCGTCTAGTGATGGGGCTAGGGCTGGTCGAAAAGAAGTCGCGCAGCACGGACATGAACGGCGCCGCCCCGGATCCCCCTCCGATCAACACCACGACACGAAAGCGGCGGTATTCCACGGTCGGCCCCCCCACCGGTCCGTCCAGATGAACCTGGGGCCATGTTTCGTCGTCGTCGTCGTGAAGGGCATACGTTGTCAGGTGTTTTAGTAGGGCAGACGTCCAATCCCCCGCCGCTTGGATGCGGAAACTCAAGTGGGGGTCGCTGGGGGCGGACGAAATGGAGAATGGGTGCCATTCATGTCGACCGAGCATCGGCACGTTGAGGTACACAAACATCCCTGGTACAAACACGAACTCGGGAGGCTTGACGAGATCCAACGCGACGGCATCGGGAAACAGCCGCACGTGGTGAATGGTCATGGGTGTGGTCCACCGCTTGAAGTACCGCCTCCGACGCTCCAAAATGTACAGCACCAGCGGCGGAGCGATCCACAGGAACGCCTGGGGGGGTTGAAACCATCCCGTGGCCCCGTGCATGCACGTGACAAGCAAAAACGGTAACAAGAGCATGTGGGTACACCAGAACGCATTGTGGTAGCGGCGACGACACGACAAAAAGAACGAAGGGGGCAGTGCCACTAACAACAGCACAAGTAAAACCCCCCCAGTCCACATAGGAAGGTCCGCTGCGACTTCAAGGAGGGGGGGCAAGTGGGGGCGTAACTGGGGAACGTGGCGGACGTAAAACGACGAGTCCAAGTCGAGTTGGTTGGTCACTGTGTACGTGTAGGCAAGGTTCACGACGTGGGCAGCCGAATGTGTCAAGGCAGACACAAACACGGCGTAGCCACATAGTTTATGGAGCTTCATGTGGTGCTCGAGGGGGAACACACGCCACAAGAATGGCTGTGCCTTGACGAAATGCAGGATCGACCGGCTCAAGAGCAACAGGGCCAAACAGCAATTCACCACGACCACTTGGGCACTGCCTTTGGCCATACACATGCCGTAGCCGACGACACGGTCCCACGGAAACAACGAGCATTTCCACCAAAACGCCGTCGCGTTTAACAGCACGTATACGGCCAGCGACCAAATTTCTCGCTTGTTGTGCACGAACAGGCATTGAACCCAGCGTCCCGATGCTGTGTTGATGGCGCTGTTGGGCTTGTGGATTGGCTCGCGTGAGTCGACCTTCTTAGCGGGGGGTGGCGTCAAAGCAACATATTGGTCGAATAGAACTCCACCCTTACGACGAATTGAGTCCCCTTCCATTCTGTTTCGACAATGAGCTACGACATTCAAATGTTACTTGGTGGACAATAATAACACAGCTTGTTCTGGTACAGCACATCCAGCCAGAGCAGCTCGGTTGTACGTGGCTACTTGTGGCAGGATGCATCACATTGACGCAAGGCGCAATCGAATTTACGTGATGACGTTTCAAGTACCGGGAACAATCGAACGAGCATCCCATGAATAAGCCAGCGTAATTCATGTACTACGTAGTAATAAGTACTAGTGTATAGCATAACGTTAGTTTATGCCGTAATTATTACTGTGCCGCCGATGCTTGGTGAGTTATCTCACTGGACGCAATCGTATTTACATAACATCCCCCCCGTTCACCACATCAACCCCTAACCTTAACAAGCCGCCAAATGTAAGCCGCTTTGCATGCTATCATCAAATGTGCAATATTGGACGGCGTTCAATGTTACTTCGATGACACTGTAGCGTTTGATGCTGCAAAGCACACCACTCGATACACCGGTAAGCTTAACGTTAAAGTTACCATTAAATTCGCCCAACGACGAAATGAAATACAGTAGGGGGACTGTTGGTGCTGTACACCTTCGACCCAAGTCAACATATGGGGAGTACTTGAGTGGGAAGGTCTGGAATAGCTGTCTTTTTTGTCACCCCCACGTGCCTAGGAAGGTGCCATAGGTCATCCATGCCAGCCTGAAAGTGCTTGCTGGGCGCTAGCTAGGTCGACAATATGACATCTGAGTACGTCCAAATCTCAGAATTCCGATGGCTAATTCCTATTGGATCACATCACGGTATATAATCTATGACCGAACGATGCCGTGAGATAAAATACAGGTGCATACAGTTGTACTGTATCTCAGGTGGCCCACGTGTTGTCGCTTGTGAACATCGGAAGGTCACGCCCACCTACTCGGCCATGTTCTAGGTATTCAAATCCCCTCCATTTATCCATTATAGATTGTACAACCCAGTTTGCAGTTGTCTACAACAACATGGTGAATCCTATGTTAACTCGTTGCGTCCAAGAAAGACTACGCCCTCCCCCCATATGGACAGATTCGACCTGACGACATTGCCCCAGCCCTCCGCACAGCCACCGATGAGATGGTCTTGGAAATTCGAACTCCTTAACCAACGCCGGCCAGCCTCCCCATGACAACACACCAATTGTCCGAGATATACTGCAGCTACGCCTGGAAAAGGCTCGATTGCTCGGGTTCAACTCGTATGCCGACATGTGTGCAACCAACCCCCCCTGCCAGTACGTTGCTATGCAAGTTGTTGACCCATTCTAGTATACACGACGGGGTCATAGGTGGGCGACAATGCAGTCAGTTTGATGTCGTTCTACGACGTGGAGAGTTTATTTCGGCGATTTGGCTTAACAGTAAAACAGGATGCAGCTCGCACTCACGTTAGTATGCAAAACGTATGTTCATATCTATACTTCGAAGTACAATAATAGGATTGTTGAGTATTTATATTCTTTAAATTATTTTACTTTATATTAAGTACTACGTAGTACTTTGTAAAACGAATGATTAAATCTATATTATTCTCAAAATAATACTCCCATTTGAAAAAAATAAACAATAATGTTATAAAAAAAATTGACAGTGTGAATTAGAAAAAAAAAAATTATTTCCCAACAAACCACAGCAACGTTCAGTTGTTGTGAACTCGAACCAAATGTGATGAACGAAGTGGTCGGCACGATCCCAATGATCTGTGGGCATGTGATCGCACACGAATCGCTGCTAGACCACTTGTACGAGACATTGGTCGCGGGAAGGAATTTCATGGCTGCTCTACTGTACGTGACTGCCCTCGACATGACAATTCACAATGTGGATGCCTTCAATTCGTGAATGAAAGATGTATTGCTTCAGCGACTCTACGAACGGTAAAGCTATATATATATCCGTTGGAAAGATGAGTTATTCTTCTGTTTTCAACTCTTTGTAGATATTCCGTCCTGCCGTTCGAACCACGAAACCAATTCCAGTGTCGATTTACCCACGTGTTCGAAGGCTTGAATGCGGCTGGCATGTACAGGTATAATAATATTCTGACATCAACGACACATCACCTGTCGTTATAGTGAGGAGTGTGCTTATTCTTCATGAAAACCAAAGATGCAGGATATATATGTACATACACGGAGAAGTTTGGACCTATCACGTGCTAGCTGTACTTTGGAAAGACAATCAGACGGCAATTGCAAAATCACTCTAATATACTACTAACGTTACCAGGAGGAGTACGTAGTAGTTTGATTTTGCAAATACAAAGCGAGCCAGTGCACTACTACAGGTAACGTTGAACCCCCTGTAAGAATTGAAAAATATCCAAATACCAATATCTCGAAACAATTAGCGCTATTAATAGGGTCGGCAAACGATTATTTATTCAAGCGATTCTCGGTAAGTACCAGGGTGTAGCCATAGGGGAAGTCGTGATTCGTTGTCTTTTCAGTTACTACGTAGTAGTACTCTGTTCAGATAACCTGTCAAATATTATACCATTCGTGTGCAATCATGGAATTTCTCGACTACCTAACTGTACTTGACTGTGCTTGACTGTACATACATGTAAAGTGAATTCTGGTTGGACAAATGTGATGAAGCGTAATTTATAGCGTAACGCTATCGTCACGGTACTTACTGTACAAAATTGAGTCGATTACTAGCACCACGTAGTATTTCACAGCAGACGGCAGTAGCATCGTGATTTGGTTCTACCGGTAGTTCAAAGTGTACTAACAGTAAACTGTAACTTACTATTAATAGTACTACGAAGTACTTGGACGTAGTAAATACTAGTACTACTGTACTAACAATGCTCCTTACCAGTAAATACTGTAAATACTGTACCAGCTAACACAAGTCGACGACCCTTTCAACTTTGGATTTGCACTGAAAGGGCGTGGCTAACCTCGCACAATACATACATGTGGTGAGTGTGGGCTGGGTGAACCTGCACAACTTAATTTTCTCAGACGTGCGCATGAATTTCAACGTTGTCTGTCCGTGGCGTTATTCTGTGGTTCATTGCCAATTGGCATGGTGGAGTCCAGCAGCGACAGGTACCTCCCCACGGGGTTCGGAGCATGGGACTGCGGCCTGCCACCCTACCAGAGCTTTCGCGCAGAGGATTTTGGCCCGGCAATTCGAGCTGCCATCGACGACATGGTGCTCGAGCTGAACTCGATGGAGGACGACTTGGCCAACCCCGACATGGACCTGACGTGGTCCAACGTGATGGACCGCGTCGAGTTCATCGACGATCCACTGAGCCGCCTGTGGAATGTCTTGTTCTTCCTCTGCGGGGTCGTCGATACCCCAATATTGCGCACGACTATGGCCGACCTACAAGCCGAAGTGCTCACGGTGCAGAGTCGCCGGAACCAAAGCGCAGAGATCTGCCGCGCCATGGAAGCGCTCCGCGCGAGCGCCGAGTGGCCACACTACTCGGTGGAGCAGCAGGTATTGTTCCTATAGTCTTAAAACGACAGATGCGACGACAAACAACGGACTTGATTTCTTTCGGTTAAATTATCTTGCTTGCTTTGTAGCGACTGCTTAACCGAGCCATTTTATCGGCACAATTAGCTGGCGTGCGATTAGATGCAGTCGACAAATCTCGCGTCAACGATATCAAGCTACGGCTGTATACGTTGGTACGCACTTCAATATATATATATATATATACGGATATCCCCCTGACTTTGGAACGGCTAAATTTCAATAATTGGTGGAAACGAATAGTACGGTACGGTATTAAAGGGCCAATGAAAGTGAAAACTTATAACTGTGATTCCTTATGTACTGTCAAAAATACATTTTTTGGCCTGTTTCAAACTCGGGGGGAAATCAGTATATATATAGTGAATCAAACTCAGGGGGAAATCAGTATGTATATAGTGAATCCTACTATATTCTGTTTGTTGATAGCAACATCAAACGTTCGCAAACAATGTATCGGACGCAACGAAAGCTTACTCCAAGCTCATTCGAGACAAACACGAACTCGACGGCGTGCCCACCGTAACGCTGGCCGTCCTCGCCCAAGTACATCTCCACCACCATCTGCAACTGTATCTCAGTTTCCGTCCGTCAAAATGTATGTATGTAGAACGCCGTGGCTTCGGGCATATGTGAAGCCACGACAGAGCTCGGCCCGTGGAAGCTATCGCTCGACAACGCGGTGGTCCTATCTATCCTTAAACACTGTACAAACCGAAGCCTTCGCCAAGAAGTGCACCGGGAAAATACATCAAAAGCCAGCGCGAATCCGTTCAATAACATCCCCGTGATCGAGGAAATCCTGGCACTACGACACGAAGAGGCTCAGTTGCTGGGGTATCACACGTACGCCGAGCTGAGCTTGGCTTTGAAAATGGCGCCGTCGGTGCTGGCGGTCGAGAAGATGATCAATGATCTCCGCGATGTTTGCTTTCCGGCTGCCCAAGCGGAGTTGGCTCGACTGAATGATATGGCAAGTTCCTGTGGCCACGACTCGCCCCTCGAGCCATGGGATGTCGCGTACTGGTATGGTGCTGTATGCTAGAGAAATAGTTTTTAGGCTACTTGCGCTGATTTACCCGAAGCAATTCACACCATTTTCACACTATTTGGAGCAGCCACACATCAATTTTCGATGGTGTGTGCACGTGTTGGATTGACCACTTTTGAAAGTGTGGTGGCTTTTGATTGTTCGATCGAGAGTGTCGTCGTGTGTCGATTTTGGTTGGTTGAGTGATGAGTGTGTCCTGTGGTGTGAAGATGATTCAAATATATCCTCCGAAGGATATATATTTATATTTTGTATTAATTCAATTTTATCGTAGTTTGATTTGTGTATAGATATTTACCTTGTGGGGATGGGTGTGTTAATGTGATAGGACGGAGCAACTCAGCAGGAAAGAGTACGCTGTGGACGACGAAATGCTGGCCATGTATTTCCCCCTCGACACGGTTCGTAGATCTGACAAAATGAACGGAATCATTGGATTTGCCTTTGAAATGTACAGAATCATTGTATTTCTTCTAAATTGAACGGACTCATAGTGTTTAAAATAAGGGTGCGTCTGGTAACATTTCAAAAATAATATTCCATTTTCTCGCAAAATCGGATTAACCAAAATAACATTTTCAAAATGGAGGTAAAAGGTCGTCCATTTTGTAATATGGCGTTTTGGACCTCTTCAACGAGTAAATCCCACTTGGAATTTCAATTTTGATCAGATTTGTTGAATTTGGCCTCAAAATGGCGTTTTGGGCCTGAATATTGTAATATTTTAAGAACATTGTAATATTGCCTTCTAATTGAACTATAACATTGAATTTGCCTTCTAAATAAAAAGAAACATTGGATTTGCTTTCGAAATAAACAGAAACATTGTATATTGCCTTCTAAATGAACCATTGAATTTGCCTTCTAAATGAACGAACGCATTGGATTCGCCTTCTAAAAGAACAGGATCATTGTATTGGCTATTTCATCAATATTAAGGGTTCGTCTGGTAACCGGAAATATTGCAATATTCAGGCCCAAAGCGCCATTTTAGGGCCGAATTCAACAAATCTGATCAAAATTGAAACATGTCTTGCTTGCATAGGTTTAACCCAAATCCAATAATTCCACGTGGGATTTACTCGGTGAAGAGGTCCAAAACGCCATATTACAAAATGGACGACCTTTTACCTCCATTTTGAAAATGGCATTTTGGTTAATCCGATTTTGCGAGAAAATGGAATATTATTTTTGAAATGTTACCAGGTGTACCCTAAACTAACTATGCCGTGAATTATATTAATTCGATCGTCGATACTAGGTGTTAACCGGGCTGTTTGAGTTGGCGTTTGACCAAAACGCCATATTACAAAATGGACGACCTTTTACCTCCATTTTGAAAATGGCATTTTGGTTAATCCGATTTTGCGAGAAAATGGAATATTATTTTTGAAATGTTACCAGGTGTACCCTAAACTAACTATGCCGTGAATTATATTAATTCGATCGTCGATACTAGGTGTTAACCGGGCTGTTTGAGTTGGCGTTTGACCAAAACGCCATATTACAAAATGGACGACCTTTTACCTCCATTTTGAAAATGGCATTTTGGTTAATCCGATTTTGCGAGAAAATGGAATATTATTTTTGAAATGTTACCAGGTGTACCCTAAACTAACTATGCCGTGAATTATATTAATTCGATCGTCGATACTAGGTGTTAACCGGGCTGTTTGAGTTGGCGTTTGACCTGTTTGGCATCCGCGTGGAGGTAATAAATTATTACCGTGGTTCAACCACCCAAACTTAATATATATTTGTTAATCTGCAGGCAGCAGACGGCGCCGCGGAAACGTGGCATCCTGACGTGCGTTTCTTTCGCATTCGGGCGATGGAGACGCCAGGGACGCCTGTGATTGGTCAGTTTTTCCTGGATCCATATGCTAGACCAGAAGGCAAACGACACGGCGGGTGGGTGTCGGAGGTGGTCAGTCGCAGCAAAGTACTGGGAACTCCCCCCGACCAGCCTATTCGAGTGGCAGTGTTTAACATTGTATGCAACCTCGTTCCCCCAGTACGTATGCTTCGACGTACATTCTTACTCGTTAATTATGTTTATACTACTCTGGTCCTGTATGTATTGTCACGTTTCAATTTCGGACACTTTGCACGAATTTTGGACACACATTTTTATGCATTCATAACGACAAAGTTGGCACGAATGAATTGCGCCATGCTTGAGATGACGACGCCTTGTGACATGGGGACTTACTTCTGTTGGGTTGAGATTTGAGATGGGTAACTGACAGTTCATTCAGTTTGACACTATTACGAGTAGATAGCTCCGTATGCCTAATCTATATATATACCCCAAACGAACATGCCTGTAAAACCTGATACAACTCCATATGGTCGGGATGAGTGTTCCAACGGGTTCGGATTCACTATTTCGACTTGTTTTTGATTGCCTAGAACGAAATTATTGGAGAATTTTGACCAATATAAAGCGACTTGGCTTTTGCCACCAAAGCGTTCTATTTTGACACCATACACCATTTTGGGTACAACTCGATAAGGCAAAATATCGTGGGTACTGACTAATCCTGAGCTTATCTGGGTTTTTTCTCATTGCCATTTTAATTGCTGTACAGTATGGTATGTTCAACTCAAAATGTTTTCCTTCAGCGGTTGGTTGGAGGAACCGAAATTTACGTTTGTCACTGCATTTCAAAATCCATTCTTTTAGCCAATCGTAATGCAGATTTGATTCGTTTTAGCCAATCATAATGCATTTCTTGATTTTTGTTGGCGATTTCAACAAATATCCCTCCAAAATGGCAAAACTTTGGGTGAAATGTTCAATATTTTGTACTACTAAATTTACTACTACTACCCAGAGACGTGAAGGATGAATTGTTTTACTTTCCACGTGAGCAGCACATACCAGTGTGCTATAGAACATTCTCGTGTTAATATATATATATATATAACAGGAAGGTACAGTAGTTTGTGCCAAGCTCCTGTATGGAATTGCGTGTCGACATGTATATATATTTTTATTATATTCTGGATGTGGTACGACTTTCCAGACGAATAATAAAAATCGCTCCCACCATTGGTCAATCGTGAAACTATTCCTCTTCGCTGATTGGCTATATTTTTTTACTTCAACGAAGCCAATGAAATATCGCGACGTTTATATGTTTTTACGAATAATCCAATGGTGGGAAAACTCTGTTGCAAGTGTTACATGACTGACTTGATGTGTATTGGTTAGTGGACTTATATATTATATACCCTATAGGTAGCGACTACGACTCCGACTTCAATGACATTTGCGGACGTCGAGCATTTGTTTCTAAGCTTTGCATTTGGGCTACGGTCGGCGTTAACTTGTGCCGAGTATTCGCGGGCGTCTGAAAACAACGGGGTTGAGTGGGATGCACTCGAGATCCCGACGATGCTGCTCGTGAATTTCTGCTACCACCGCGGTAAAGTGTTATATATTCAAATACATGGACACATGTTGTATTTTAACGTCGGCACGACGTTATCCCGTGCGGCGACAACTGTGACGTGATATTGTAATAATCCCATTACCCAACTATATATTTGGACTACTTTTGTGCTGATTCTTTGCCAAATCTATCGATCGAGTTTTTGTACTGACTTTTGTATGTAAAAAAAGCGTGGTCTGTGCGGATTGGTATCACACTAAACACTAATTCGACGTTGAGTATGCTGGTTTCCTGCAATCTGATTGCCTAAATCCGATGATTCTTCTGTAATACATTTGGTTGTGTCGATCGATTCATGCATTCTCCATGCTGCTCAGTTTAGAATAAACACATAAACAATATATATCGTAGGCACGATGCAACGCATTTCAAAACACGTTGTCACAGGCCACCCCCTGTCACATGACTTGTTCGACAAGCTCGTGGCTGCGAGGCGGTTCATGGCGGCCACGAAATTGCTGCGGCAAATGCACCTGTCCGCAGTTGATATGGCATTGCATCATTATTACGACCCGAGTTCCGCAGCAACGACCCTGCAACAAGTCCAAGACAGTATTGCCCAACGGTATTCGAGACTCGATCTTCCTGATATATATATATATATGTTTTGTATATAGTCATAATATCTATATTATTTGTTTTTTATATAAAGACATAATATATATAGTGTATGTTATGTTATATATATATATACAAACATAATGTATATACTATATGTTATGTAGCATACAAATATAGAATATGTGTTTTATATGTATATATTATATACATATGTATATATTGCGACTCAATTATTTGCTCAACGAGCGAGCTGTAGGTTTTGTGTGCTGCCGTTGTCGCCCGACGACCGATTCCTATGCTCGTTTGGCCACCTATTTGCTGGCTTGTATGCGGCCGGGTATTATAGGTACGCGCCACCACCTGAAATATAATATATATATATATATATATAAATATATATAAATAATATCGTTATAAATGGGGTAGCTACAAGTGGTCGGCAATGCTGTCGGCGGATGCGTATGCTGCGTTTGAGCAAGTTGAAGGGGATGTGACAGCATGGCGGGCGTTGGGCCGACACTTCCGCGACACAGTACTAGCCCGCCTCGGGGTTGATCATCCACTCGTGGCATTCGAGCAGTTTCGGGGGCGCCGGCCATCCCCAGACCATTTGCTTCAGTTGTATGGAGTTTCGCAGTGAATTTTGCGTTTAACGATATATAACAAGAGAGGCTGTTTGAATGTGGGGGGGGTCAATAGCCTCAAAGAAGCTGCCCGGCCTGTTTAGTAGTTGTACAAGTGTAGCCCCTGTGTAGCCCTAGATAGTATATACTTCTCGCCATGAGAAATCACGTGAACTGTGAATGTCTAATGTCCATTGGTGTTTGCCGATAAAATAGACAATAATAAAAAGCACACACTTGCTTGAACATGAGCTCTCGACTGCCGTCAGTTGCAGCCACTGACTGTTTACTACGTTCGAACAATGATATACTTAGGCGATTTTGGGTGAATGATATCTAGGTTAATAGTTTTGAACGACACGGTATATATCAGGCAAAATGTGATCGGAAATGACTTGGCAAAGCAAGTTTGCCCATACGGGGGCTACCGGGGTGGACCTCTTAGTGACTACGTCTACCCGCCCACTCCAAATGGTTCCAACGCCAGAAAACTATTCCGGCTTAAGGGCGATAACTATCGCATCGGTCGCACGTCGATAATATTGCTTCGCCGTGAATTCCTACTTCTAAGTATGGAGTACTAGTTCCCAACTACACCATTTTGCGGTTAATTTCACATTTGTTTCCACTATATTTCGCTCAGCTTGCAGTATATTTTCACGAGGCCACCGATACATTTGGGCTACTTCCATTCAAGTTCGTGGCGACCTCAAACTTCACGTGTATACCAAACCAGCGGTATAATTCGACCAACTATCGTTGAATTTCAGTTCACCCAGCATCCGAAATATTTCGACCAAAGATGTTCTCTGTAAGTTGACTGTGAATCGAAATTTTATCTCCTGTTCACAATGCATATACAAGTATATATAAATGTGATCAGGATATTAATTTATACAAGCTAAAAACCACTATGTAGTAGTAGTAACGTTTTGTAGTGATATACAGTCCGTATACTAGTTCCTATGTTCCTACGTAGTACAACTAATAGTACTACGTAGGAACATAGGAACTATTAATAATATACGGTAGCTTGGTTAGTCATTTTGGATTCGAATGGATAAGTTTACTGGTAACGTTGGACGATATGCCAGCCGCCGCACCACCTGCTTTGTGTAATCATGTGGATACAGTAGTACCAATATGGGATAACTTTGATTCGCGGCCACTTTCACCAGAGTCGTTGACGATTGAGCAACACTACTAGTACAACATAATTCATTGCTGCCATCGATCGATCCTAGAACTACAGCTATACTACCGGTAGTATGCTCAATCCACTCACTCGGTGCGTGCAAGAGTACGCGTTGCCGCCGTTTGCTCAGCTCCGACCAGACGACTACGCCCCTGCCCTGCGCACTGCCATGGAAGAACTCGCCACAGATCTGGAAGCCATAGAGGAGGACCTGGCGGACCCAGGCGCCGATATCTCATGGGAATCGTTGATGGATCGACTGGAGATCATCGACGATCCATTAGATCGTCTGTGGGGAGTGGTCACCCACATGTCCATGGTAGCCAACGTGCCCGAGCTTCGAACGGTCCAGGCCGAGCTAGAGCCCGAAGTGCTGGCCGTTCAAGGCAAACGCGCCCAAAGCGTTGTGATTTACAAAGCGATGGTGGCCCTTCGGGACAGTTCCGACTGGAACTTGTTGACACCCGAACAACAGGTACGCGTACAGCCTTAACTAGTAGTACTAGTACAGTGCACTATGTCACAGTGTGTGACACGGTAGCGCATTTTACACCGATCAATTCAAACTGCCACGCTCACTGGGGTGCATCTCGTCGGCACCAACAAAGCACGATTCAATGCCATCCACAAGCGTCTGTTGGAACTGGTGCGTTCGAAATTCACAGTGTTACAACATGACGATGCTAATTCTGAACAGTATATTATTCGTCCTTTTGGTTTATTATTATTATTATTATTATTGTTGTTGTGCTTTCGAGTGAAATTTCGTGTTGTGGCGTGGTTTCTCGTTCGAATTTAAATCGATTTGATTGGCTACTTCAGATGAGCTCAAAATTATTAACCAATCAAAACCTTCTTAATGAAATTCAACCAATCAGATCGATTGTGGATCCGTTTGGTCGGCGCGATTCGATTGCACAACCCCTCCCCAAATTTGTATCAAATCGACAATATTGGCCGTAAATATATATATATATATGAGTATTCACCATTTTGCGTTTGTGGCAGAAAACCGCCACCATGAACAACGTATTTGACGCATCCAAGGCATATTCGCACTGGATCTATGACAAACAGCAACTCGACGGCGTTCCCCACTCGACGCTGTCACACATGGCTCTAGTACGTGCATAATGTATAGGTTTTCTATCCACGAGCTCCACATTTTAAGTTCTTTGCTGCAGAACGCCGCGCAGAGTGGCCACAGGGATGCCACCGCTGAGAAGGGACCGTGGAAGGTGTCGCTCGAGGCGTCCGTGTACCAGTCGATATTGAAACATTGCTCGAATCGACACCTTCGACAATACCTGTACCTAGCCAACAACACCAAAGCCAGCGTCCATCCGTTCGATAACCAGCCGCATGTGGTGGAGATGCTGCGTTTGCGACAGGAACAAGCCCATCTACTTGGGTTTCCCACCTATGCCGACTTGTGTGTAGCCGACAAAATGGCGCCTTCCGTCGACGCTGTGACTGCTCTATTGGAGGAATTGCGAGTTCAGTGCTTTCCTATCGCCCAAGCCGAGCGCCGGCAGCTGGAAACATATGCAGCTGCCCACAACCACCCGTTGCCGTTGGAGCCATGGGACATTTCGTATTGGTGAGATTATTATGCCTCCACGAGGATTGTATTCTAGAACCGAGAATGATATTGTCCTTTTACGCAAATTTGGACTTTTGCGCGGAATTGCCAAATCTATCGATCGACTCTCTGTATGAGTGATGATTGAATTCACACTAATATAGATCTAACACTAAATAGAATCTGATGCTGGTTTCCTGCAATTTGATTGGCTAAATCCTTCTGCCGATTCTTGTGTACATTTATTTGTGTCGATTCATTCTCCATGTCGCTCCAGTTTTGAGTAAACATAAGAATATTGGAGATTCGGTATTGCCGATTTGATACAAATTTGGGGAGGGGTTGTGCAATCAAATCGCGCCGACCAAACCGATCCACAATCGATCTGATTGGTTGAATTTCATTGAGAAGGTTTTGATTGGCTAATAATTTTGAGCTCATCTGAGGTAGCCAGTTAAATCGATTTAAATTCGAACGAGAAACCACGCCACAACACAATGAAATTTCACTCGAAAGCACAATACGAAGAATATTTTTTTCAATCGACCATTTCCCCGGGCTCCGATCTCTCCCATTGGTTAATCCGAAATTACTAATTGTCGCTGATTGGTTACAATCTGTTTTCATTTTCTACCGGAATGGGCGACGTGGATAATAATAGCCAATCAAATGTCTCGGCTCTATATGTGCTCGATTGAGAAATTTGACTACAATCGACCATAATTGGTGTTAACAAAATCCTTAGGATGGAGGCGCTATGTAAAGAAACTTTCGACATCAACGATGAACTAGTCAAACCATACTTTCCACTGCAACGAGTACGTGTCTGGCTGTGGATACTGGCTATGATGATCGTATAGAGCATACATATACTATGATTTCAATGAATATTTCATATATGTATCGGCAGGGTATTGCGGACGGATTAATATATATTTCATATATCTGCAGGTATTGGACGGATTGTTTGCCTTGGCGGCGCAGCTGTTTGAGATTCGCATCGAGGTGGGGGGGGTGCTTTCACCTTGAACTATTTTGTACATATATATATCTATATATTCCCATATATATATCTATATATTCCCATATCTTTTGGAATCAGGCAGCGGATGGCTTGGAAGAAACGTGGCATTCTGACGTTCGTTTCTTTCAAATTCGAGCGATGGACCAGCCTGACGAGCCTGTGATGGCCCAATTCTACTTGGATTTGTTTGCGAGACCCGGTGACAAGGTGCACGTGGGGATGCTGAACGTTGTCGCAAGCCGTAGCAGCGTATTTTCGACCGAAAAGACCCCCGTGCGACTGCCAGTGTTGGCATTGCTGCTGAACCAATCTACCCCGGTATAACGACATCATGTTGACACCCCCCATGGCTCAACCCGGTCGTAGACGGACGACCACCCGACTTTAATGACATTTACCGACGTCCACGCCCTGTTTCACAGTTTTGGCATGGTGCTGCGGTTTGCTTTGACAGATGCCAAGTACACGATGACGTCGGGCGCATTCAGCGTCGAAAGGGATGCCGTGGACGTACCTGCGACGATGTTTTCCTACTTTTGCACCCGCCGCGGTGCGTTTATATATATTATATATACGTCGATTGTATATATATATATATAATACTTGTAGAGACGATGGCGTTAATATCAGGGCACTACGTCACTGGCGAGCCGTTGCCAGACAAGTTATTCGAGAGTATGATCGCCGCCAAGCAATTCATGGCTGCGACGACGTTGCTACAGCAAGTGCACTTTGCAGCCCTCGACTTGGCATTGCATCAACAATCTGTGACACCGTCGTCGTCGTCCCTCTCGACTGTGCGCACTGCCGTCGCCAACAAGTACGTCCAAGAAACGGTCGTATAAGTCGTTTATACATGGTCAACGTTAGGTTTGCAGTGTCGCAACTTTTAGCCAATGATCAATATGTGACCCAGTACATTCACATTTTCGACTTGCATTATGCAAGTGCCGTGTACGGGTATGTATGTACAAGATATAAATCATCACGATGTATATCAGTCCTTTGATCCAAAAGCTTTGGATAATTATGAGCTCATTCGCCAACATCCATCTCGATCAATCCATTTCGGTTATACGAACGAGTGTATGTTTGTAAAAGTGAATACCCGTGTCACACTATTATACGAAGTACTATAAGACGCTACAGTATGGTTAACGCAAGAGATTTTGATTGGCCGCTGGACTGTTTTGATTGGTCCATCCATTATGTGACCCGTTCGAATTGCGATTGTAGGTACAAGTGGGCCGAAGTCCAAGCTTTGGATGCATATACTTGCTTTACGGAAACCCAAGGCGACCAAACAGCGTGGAATGCTACGGGAAGGCGGTTCCGACGGACGTTTCTCGCGATGACTGGAGTGTGCCACCCGTCGCAAGTGTTCGAGTCGTTCTGTGGACGACAGCACAACACCGATGCGATGCTTCGACATTATGGCCTGAAGATGTGCCCTTGAGTGCAGTATACTAGTACTACGTAGTACTATGATGTACTCTTAATCGTATGTTGTACCACGTCGCACAGTACTTCTAGTACTCAGTAGGGCCCATGTTTGGAGCAAACATGGATTCTGACTCCAGAATCCGGATTATGTCAAAAAGTTGCACCGAACACGATTGGCCCAAATGCCGAAAATTCACAAGAATACTGGTATTCTATTGGTCACATCCTATTGGATCTGGTTTTTGCTCCTTTTCATTGGTTCCACCATCTATGACTGCACTTTTTAGGCCTTTGACAGTCAGGTAAAACGAAATACAATGTGCTATTTTGAATTATTTAAGTATTCTGACCGAAATGTTGCAGCACGTCATGCACGAATATCGGCCATGTAGACGCTTTCTTGGCGGCGATTGCGCCGGATTTACAAAATACGACGCGTCCCGCTGCAAGCGTATTGCGCAATTATAGCGTGATCATAAACGAAGAAGTACATGTAGCTACATATCATATAACTTTACTGGAGGGCAAGATATCCACATCACCATTCAAGGTCCATTCGATAGTGCAGCGACTTCGTAGCGGGTTTTGACCAACACATTGAGCTGTGCAAGGAGAGATACAAGTAACTTGGTACCGACTTTTACAAGGATGAGATACAAGTAACTGCGTGTGCTAAGTTTACGTAAGTAATTTTGTCAGTTGCATGCATACACATGAGTTGTTGACTCAACGAGTGCGTAGCCCATTCTGCGCTGCAGGAATATAATTCATCCCCCACCAAGATGAATACGGTCTTACATGCTAACTAGTTAAATAGTTGGCGAAGAAGCACCATGCGATGGACCACTTGATCACATGTGGTCACGGCTGCGACGTTCCTTCCATCACTGTCAGTACTCGGAGATTAGATTAAACACCCCGAAACCCCGGAAACCCCAAACTCCGAGTACATGTATTTCTGAAAAGCAGAATACCAATCAATCCCACCAAGAAACCATCAAATCCAGAATCCGGATTCTACCACAAGAATCCGGTTTTTGTTTTTGTCAATCGAACACAAAAAATCGGATTCCAGAGTCTGAATCCATGAAATAACCGGATTCTTGGTGCGTCCGAACACGGCCTAGGTGTATTGTACGTACTAGTAGTACTTGCGAGGTTCGACGGTTTAGAGCCAGGTCTCGGAATAATTTGCCATCCATGAAGCAATGGCGTTATCCGAAGAAGAATTGTTGCGGGGTGACGAAAAATTGGATATTTTGGTTATTTCTGGTTGTCCCAAAATTAACCGGATGCAGTCGCGTTTTCTTGCGTGCTTGACTAGGTACCATACCATAACACCATAACGACTCGGACAAATATTTGCTGGATATGTGCTTCGGACACGCACTTAACTAGATTTACAGATTAAATGCGAATAGTTGTTCCACAGGCCTTGTCCGGGTAGCGGCACGGCCTGCGGCCTACCTGCCGCTTTTCCCGACAAGAGGAATCGATTGGACATTCGGTGAAGTGCACGATTGGGGCTCACTCCTCGCCAAGGCACCGCCTGCACAAAATTATACACACGACCTCCGCTACGCTGCGGTGGCGCAATTTTGTGGGCGGATGCTCTGTCGTCGCTTGCTACTGTAAAGCTGATCGTTCTTATGCGGGTTAATACAATACACAAGTATGTCCGAACATATTCCGTTCGGACAACTTCATTCGGACAAAATATGTTCCCCTGATGTCAAATACAAATGCCAAGTATGTCCGACTGAAATTGTCCGAACGGTGTCCGCAAAGTGATCATATTCACCCGTACCGTACACAATAACTACCCTGACATTTTTCGTCCAGGGTAGCTCGAGAAAGGCTGAATTGTCCACAGAATCAGATTACTTTTCAATAAAATTAAATATGTTTAATCGAGTGTACAAATGTCACGTTTAATATTTACATTAATGTATTTTTTTATCCGCCTTAGTCAGACAGGGTAGTTATTCCGACCGGGAAGGCCCGCGGGTAGTTATTAAGTCCGGGTAGTTATTGTGTACAGTACGGTAGTTAGTGTTACATCGGGTATGTCAACATATGAGTATCTCAAGTAAAAACTTCGACAAAATGAGAGTAAGCAGCACTTTGAACCAGGCGTCCTTAACAAGGACAATATTGGTGGTGGTGTTTATTGTAACTTTTGTAAGAGCATCTCCACCGGAACACGGATTTTGACCCTGGATCTGAGTCCTTTTCAGTGTCATACTGAATTCAATAAATTTGAGTATGAAGGATATTCGTTCGCATCGTGACACTGACTTTTTAACCGCAATTCTGCGAAAATTAATACAGTATAAATAGATAAGATATGCATGGTCATTTCTAAGTCCACACAATATGCGCTGGAATGACCGACTCATGCAGTTGTCGAATCAACTGATGGATTCGTCCGACGAGGAAATCGATGTCATCATAAGTACGGCAGCCCAAAAAGCCGTCCGCCAAGCCGCAGCTGTAGACTCACGGTCATGGAGCGGGTCTCGTCGCGGTCGTCAGCCAAACATTGATCGAAACCGGACTGGTGGGCACCAGCAGATTGTCGACGACTACTTTGGAGAGAACTCCGTGTGGAATGGTCAAGACTCAGGGTCCGGGGTTCTGAAACTCAGTTTCAGTGTCGAATTCAGTGTTAGGGTGGGGGTAAATTCAGGGTCAAAATATCATCGACACTGAGTAATATTCAGTTTCAGGGTCAAACTCCGTGTACGGTGGAGATGCTCGAAGCTTAACTGTAAGGACAAACCAACGGCGGATGGAAAGCAACAGTGAGGTGCCCGACGAACGCAATCGAGACACGAGACCCAACCTAGAAAGGCGAATGACGTTTTACTCCGGAAGCGCCTTCGTCGATTACGTTCAAAAGTCAGTACAGTATATCAAAACAACAAGCACTTCGTGGTACGAACGTGTGGTGGAAAAAGCAACCATTTTGTCCCCGTTACGTACGCCTAGTACTTACTCAAATGTTTTCGAAGTTTTGCTCAGATACTGTACTCGCTGTTGGTGATTACTGTACCGAACAATCCCCTAAGCTTCAACAGTGGTACTGTTGTTACGTAATCATTTTTGCCTGGAGCCCCTGTAACCCTGGACATGGACCCCTTGCGCGCTTACATACAATACTATTCCCGGGGTTAACTCCTACATTAGCTGAAATGAGTAGTTTTGAATTTACACTTGATTTGATTATGTGTGGCAGAAATAACTTGGGTTTTGTATGCCAGGAGGCCCAATTGACGTAACAATACTAACGTTACTGTTGCAGCGAGGGAATTTTGCTGGGTGATTACAGTAGACGGTCGTACATCACTCCTTCCCCTTATGTTGCGGAATGCATTCACTTGCCCAGAATGTTTGCGGTACGGCTGGTATTTGACCAATTGGTGTATGATAGATACATCTTGCCTTGTCACTACTCACCAAGGAATGAATTGGACTTGGCTCACTTATCAAAGCTCATCCTGACAGTCGAGCAACCCTGTCTGAGCCAATGCCGTCCACTACGATGCCGCCGTGGATATTCGTCTTGATCTGTACAATCGGCTTTTTCGGTGATTTTGACCGAGCCATCACTACTGGCGCTCCAGCCCAGTTCCAATACTTTATCCAAGTCTCTCACAACACCACCGACCCTGGCGCGCTGCTTGGACTGCTCTCATCGTCGTATGTGACCACCAACGCCCTCTCGATCCCGCTGTTTGGCTACCTCGCGATGATCACCAAACCGTTTCGAGTCATTTCTATGGGGCTTGTAGTGTGGATCGTTGCCGTGGCCATCTCAAGCGTTTCCAAGTCCGCCAACAGCTTCGAGCTTTTAGTCGTGGGGCGATTCCTCAGTGGTGTTGGAGCAGCATCGTTTCAGTGCACTATACCCGCCTTCATCAACGACCACAGCCCGAGCAGTGTCCAGACGCTGTGGTTGGGTGTGTACATGATGTCGGCTTGTCTGGGAGCGATTTCGGGTGGAATCGCGGCATCGACGCTGTCTGCGACTTCCTGGGGCTGGAACTCATTGTATGCCATGGAGGGGCTAGCGATGTTGCCGTTGCTTTGCCTTTGCCGTTTTGGCATTCCCGATGAATTCGATCGGATCAGCAGGGACGACACCAACGAATCCCAAGCCTTGTTGGAGGAGAGTGGTTCCGCCCCCCCAAAGTCGTTTTTCGGTGAAGTGTGGGGGGTTTGTAGCAACGCAGCGTTTATGTGGCTGACGCTTGGTGTGGCAGCCATGGTGTTTTCTGGTTCTGGGTTGGCCATGATTTCAACGCTGTTGCTGATTGGCGTTGGCGTGTTTTCGTCGGAAACTGAGGCCAACGTCACGTTGGGTTCCCAATCACGTAAGTGCTACTAGGACTATATACCATTGCAATGTGATGTGTACTGAACTAATTACGAACCCTGATTTGTAGTTGTTACAACCTTCGTGGGCACCTTCCTGGGGGGCGTGCTGCTCGATTGGACAAGCCGTGGTGCAGCTTACAAGCGACAGTACTTTGCGATTCGTCAACTGGTGCTAGGATTTCCAGTAGCGCTTGGAGTCGTGCTCCTCTCCGTGGCTGCTTTGCCTGACAAAACGTGGTACTTGGTGTGGAATGGACTATCGACTATCACTTTCACTTCCATGCCGCCAGTTGCGATGACCGCCGCGTTTCACTCTGTCCATCCATCGCAACGCTCCCTCGCTGTTGGTGTGAAGACTCTTGTGCTGCACGTGCTCGGGGACGTTCCCGCCCCCATCATCGTGGGCTACATCAAGGATGCTTGGGCGCCTCACTGCAACAGCGTGCTTGTGGACGGCGTCGTAGTGCTCAACCCAGAGTGCCATCAAGACAAAGACGGACTCATCCTAGCCATGCTGTTTCCCTTAGTGTGGATGGTGTGGGCCATTACGTGTTTTGGCATTGCCTTGTACTTCGCTCGACGGACTATGCTCAAGGAAAAACGTGCTGCACTGTGTGCTTCAAATTGACTTGTTAATGGTAAGGTGAGCCGCCTTGCTCCTTTTTAATATCCAATCAGAGTCCATCTCACCTTGTTTCTTACAAACCATTGGCTATAACACTGGCAGAAGAGGTTAGAAACTGTTTGGACTGTTCAGGCAACTTCACTGAACAATCACTGAACGTTTCAACACTGAACGATGAGAATTATCCGGTGACTTTACCCGGCCAACATTTTGTCATGTCCGGGGAAACGTCGGAACGGATCGAAGGATGCAAGCGCTGGTCGCTCATGCGCAATGAGCGCGGGTTGGAGCCTCAACTTCGTCGTAATCGTTATTCATTAGGTTCATTTATGATGTGGTTGACTCTAAAGCATGACCGAAGTGCTGCCGTGGTCGCTGAGACGTGTGGTGATGCAAGCTGCCATGAAAGTGGGTAGCTGGTACGCGAGCGCTACTGCGCATAGCCCTGTGATATTCACTACGTCGCACACATACGTACATATCTTACTATTCCGCCAAAAAGCGCATTCGCGAAGGGTCTCTAGCTACCTCTACCAGCATGAGCCGACGGCCGAATCTTCGCTGCTCATGTGGACCGCCAAACCATGCAATTTACATAATGATACTTTCGAATAATATCACTTGAAATATGTATGAAAATATATAGCCAATCAGAATAAAGTTGTTCAGTGTTGAAACGTTCAGTGATTGTTCAGTGAAGTTGCCCCAACAGGGCCTTATGCTGCATTGTGTTCACTCCTACTATTTCCAATGTGGTTCTCCCCTTGCAGCTAACATTATGTTGTGCGCTCGGCTGGGTCGCAATGCCGTTGCTGCTCTGGTGGGCCAACGCGGTGGCGAAAGTCGAATTGGACCAAGGCGTCTTTCGCTACCAAGACTCGTGGTAGCACCCATCGCAAGTGCTGAAGTGGCAGCTTTAGCACTTGCGATGGGTGCCACCAAGAAGTCTTGCGCCACCCGCTCGCGCAACCACGTGATCACATCAGCAGAGAGGTTTACGGCACCGACACTGCCTGGATGGGGAGCGACTGGCGGAGCTCAGGTCGATCGAGGACTTTCAGCTGCGACGGCAGACGACGAAGGACGTCCACGCACTCCTGCTGCGGGAATGGAGGCAAGATTGACGCTGGGGTGGGATGGGTCGACACCTGCGGTCGAAGACATCCACGTGTCGTTTCGACGAGGCTTTGAGATGCTGGTCAAGAACAGGTAGATGCGCCGAGAAGTGAACGTGTCGTCGTTCCGCCAACTTGACAACAGCCTGCACCATCACCACAATATCGAAGACCACTCGTGGTTTCCGCGTCTCAAGCAATTGCACCCCGAGAACCGTTCCGAAGTGGACATACGCGAACGAGATCATCGCAAACTCATCGAATTGGAATCTCGCGTGGCGTCTGGTGACTACGATGCCCTCGTCAAGTTCGTCAAACGCCTCATGGACCAATTCAACCGCGAAAGAAATGTTGTCTGTGCCGTGGCTTCTGGAGGGCAATGGTGAGTTGTAAGTCAAGTTAGGCTAGCTATAGTAGCTCCAATGAGGGATGACCACATTCATTGGGTTAGTAGGCAAGTAAGTGGTGATGTTACTGAAGTCTAGACTTGTTCGAATTGACCGAGTCCTGAATGCCACATTGATGATCTTGCTCTCATACACAGCCTACATAATTATCTCAATACTTCTTGCATCAACGCCATTATAGAAACGTGGAGCACCAGTCATCAGCTTCGCTCTTTGCTTACTTTGTTCGTCGATTTCTCGTTGACTACAACACATATTGAGGTGATACAAATATCAAAATAATCGCAAGATTCAGCTCATGAATTGAGGTTCAAAGGATGTCAATTTAAATAGTAAACACGTGCAGTAAGGATCAAAAGTAGCGTTTTTCGTAGGGCACCAGTCATCGATCGGCACACGTTTTAGACTTGTGTAATGTATTGGCTCCTCCACACTCTAGTTCGCGGGATGCTGTCATCATATTAGCTATCAAAGGAATATGTGTTTAGAACGGGTATTAATTGCTACAGTAATGATTTCTGTATGATCAACACTATATTGACTGGTCCAACCTCTAATTTATAAGGGGCACTAATTCTTAAAGAACTACATTTTGACCAATAAGAGGTATTCGGGCATTTCTATTGGCTTACAACAGTGCCGATGACTGGTGCCCTACGCACTGTAAGTAGAATATATCGCAACAGGGTGTGATGAATCTACGCACCAATTTTCACGGCATCTGATTGGACAAATTGGACAAGGTGACCTGCCTTGCGAATTCCAAAAACAGACAAACACATGAAAAATAAAAATCAACAATACAAACTTGAAGATATATTTAATTGAAACTATACAATTTCAAAATTATTTATGGAATTCGGAAGGTGGTTCACCTTGCGCAGTATACAAAATTGCCTATTTCACCTTGCTTTTTCTGGTTAAACCGGATTTGTGGGGAGAGTCCAATACTATAACCAAGTGTATTCTTAAGTATACTTGACTTTGCCAACCTGCTAATCGCAGGTTCGTAGAGCAAATAATAAAATGAAAAATGTAAAAAGTCATTGTATTCGCTTCAAGTAGTGTAGGGTTCTGCGATTCGCAGGGTGGCGGAGCCAATCAGAAAAAGACGAATATTTCTTTTCCCGCAGAGAACTATAAATATTTGTCAAAGTCTGTAATGGACACACAGATGGATAGTTCAGCCAATGAAAACAGTTATGTATTACTCTTAGCAGTGTGCAGAGTGCAACTGTCTCCCTTCTCGCTGATTAGCTCAAAGTTTGAATTAATTTCAAATTTTGTTCAAGGAAGTTCTCTCACTTTCGAATTTGCCAGCAACCGAGAAAATGGTTCCGATCTGCCGCTTTGCGCCGTTGACGCCAAGGTATATGATGAGTGCAGTGTGTGTGAAGTCTTATATATTCGACAGGTCCCTATGAGCAGCCGCAGTCCGAACTCCCCACCGCCGCCGCAACCGACTCCATAAGCTGCCGTCACGACTACCCCGTCATCCCGGCTCCCACGCCGCCACCGCCTCAGACGTTTCGTCTTGTTTACACCGAATCTCGATATCAAGTCGCGGATATCTTTACCCAACCACTTGATGTGACAATGTTTTGCGCTCTGCGCAGTCAACTTAGTGTGATACAACTGCCGCCCCACAGCACCCTACGGTGCAAGCCAGGAGCACGAACTCCGACCTCTAGGCCCATGACTGCGCCAACATGTTAAGGGGACGCCCTGGGCTATGTTGGTTCGACATTGGGGGATGACTACATCCTGGTGGTTTCTCGATCCATCCGGCCATTCCTCGGATGTGGTTGGTAAAGGACCGATTGGTATGGACCTGCTGGAACACAAGTTGTGCCCCAAAAAGATGACGGAGTAAGCTGTGGTGGTTACACTTACTGAGCTTAACTGCCAGTCTCATGCTGCACTTTGGGCAATTGATTCTGGTCACTCACGTGTCTGCTACTACTGCTTGGTCTTCCCACTCTGCGGCATCATCTCCTAGCTGGTACAGGAGTAGGTGCTCAACTTGCGGGATATGGGACTTCCTTTGTCCGGATAAGAGTTGCATATACTCCGGTTGATGTATTGTACAACACTATACTTTGTTGTATCGGATAAACAGATAAATAATAAGAGCACCAGTTCGCTATCCCAACTCTATATCTCAAAACTTCGGTTGTACTGTACTTTATGTTACCGTACGGATAATTATGGTCTTATCCGGACTGTTTTCTCTTCAAGGATCTCCCCAAAATGTTCAGTTAATTACACTGTATTGGGGAAATGGGGACCCCGTTGGAGATGCTCGTAAAAACACCCGGATACATCCCCAAATTATCCGTAACTTCGATGGTGCCACTATTTTAACAGATTTTGGGGATAGGGACCTACCTACCTATAGGGACCCCCTTGTTGGAGATGCTCTATTAAGTTTAGAAAGTGTATTGATTTATACAGTGAAATTTGACGCGCTATTTCTTCGTCTTCGACGTTCCTTGTATAAAGTTTTGGGATGCATCGAATTGTAATAATTGCCTGCCAAGGAAGTCAACTCCGTAATGGTACTGTACTGTAGGCTAGGACAGCTCTACGATACCAGGAGTGAACTCCGGTCATTGAATATATATTGTTCAATGTTAGTTGCACTGTAAAGGTGCTTGATTGTGGTGGGTTGGGTACTGTAGATTACGAAGAATACGAGCGAGTGTGTCGTGTTCATACCTGGTAACGTTAGCAGAAATGTACAGTACCCAACTCCATACCGGTACACTTCATCGCAGAGTGGTTCGTTGATGGGAGAGGCGCATTGATACCAAACAGCTCGCTTGGACGACAACAATTGTCCATATACTACATCATAATGGCAACAACACACATTGGATAGTTGACTGTGAGCTCACGGCAATGTTGTAACCAGTTGAACATTGATATGCAGCGCAACTACAGTGCTATATTTTCACAACACTGGTGACTACGATTACGGTATGTATTCTGTGTTGAAGATGATACAACGACTGGGCAATCGATGTGTGACACAGCGAGTCGAAATTTTTGATACTTCGAAGTAAAATGTGTACCAATAATACGTGGCACTCGAAGTGTGCACGAGATCGCAGATCGAGAAACAGGCTATTTAGCATATGTCAACACTTGGTGGGTAATTCCTGTCCATTTGACAATATGTCACCAGTCCAACTTATTCCACCTTTGCGATAATACGACCCAATATCTCCGTGAATCTCATGCTGGGATTCATAATATGCTACGAAGGCATGGTCAAAATACGTGGTGAGCAATTTGACCTTGATCCTGATTGGATTACATGGACCAAATCACACGTCTTATGCCGGGGTTGTCACGGCGATAAGTTATCCCCTTCTCATTTTGAATCAGGCACACTCTTCAACTAGTTACCCTCTTCACTGTCAACACAAACACTAGCAGCATTTCCATGGTTGTGAACCCCCTCACTCGGTGTGTGGAGGATTACTCGCTGCCGCCGTACGCCCAGCTTTGCCCTGACGACATTGCGCCCGCCTTGCGCACAGCCATGGCCGAGTTCGCGTCGGATCTGGAGGCCATCGAAGACGATTTGGCGTGTCCGGACGCTGAGATCTCGTGGGAAAGTGTGATGGATCGCTTGGAAATCATCGACGACCCACTCGAGAGATTGTGGTGCATTGTGCTTCAGTTGATGAAAGCAGTCAACATGCCCGAACTTCGCGCGGCACATTCCGAGTTGGAGGACCAAGTGGTGAGGCTGCAGAACAAGCGGGCGCAGAGCGTGGTGGTGTACCAAGCCATGACCGCCCTTCGCGACGGTCCCACGTATGTGACACTGACCACGGAACAACAGGTTAGTCTTATGATTATGTTTTTATGGGCGAGAGCAGTATTGGTTGATTATGATTCGAATCCATGGCCATAGCGCATTCTAAACCGAGCGATTGGACGAGCTACGGCGAGTGGTGTGAACCTCGTCGACCACGACAAGGATCGATTCAACGCCATCCACGTTCGACTACAAGCTCTGGTACGAGACAACGCAAGACATTGGGATATATACATCTTCTGGAACTATATAGTATCAATGTGCGACGAACGTGGTAGCGCACAATCCACGGACACAACGAACTTGATGGCACGAATGCATACTCGCACGTTATCACAGACAAAGCGCAACTGGATGGCGTGCCGCAGTCGACTCTGTCGCTCTTGGCGCAGGTATATTGTATATTATATATATATATATAACCCCCAAAACGCATAGGTTCCACGAAACGATGCATATAATATGTATACATTCACTTGTTGATGCGTAGAACGCGGTGGCAGCAGGGCATGTCCTCGCTACAGCTGAAAGCGGGCCGTGGAAGCTGTCGTTAGAGTCGCCAGTGTACGACCCTCTATTGAAATACTGCGCGTCTCGACCGATTCGGGAGCAGCTATACCGAGCCAACAACGACAAAGCCAAGGCCAACGAGCCGGTTGTAGTCGAAATCCTGCAATTGCGACTCCAGCTCGCCCAAATGCTGGGATTTCGTTCGTTTTTCGAGCTCAGTTTGGTGAATAACTCGGCCCCCTCTATCGACAGTGTGTTCGATACACTCGATGAGCTACGGGACAAGGCTTTTCCGCGTTCCCAAGCCGAGCTGCGCCAGCTGGAAGGACTAGCCGCCGCACACAACCACCCGTTGCCGTTAGAGCCGTGGGACGTACAGTATTGGTACAAATAAAAAACGAGTTTTAATGTCCCCTCTCGTGCAACGATTGACATTTGGTCATGTGTGCAGGACGGAACGACTGCGCCAGGAACAGTTTGACATTGACGACGAAGCGATCTCGCAATACTTTTCCTTGCCCAAGGTATCAACAGCCACGATCGAAAAAATAATATATATATATATCCATATATACATGGCGGACGGTATAAATATATATATATATATGCAAAGAAATCGATCATTCCCTCAAGACCTACAGTAAAGCCAGCCATTCTAATATAACCTATGTGTAGGTGTTGGACGGACTATTTGATTTTATCGGTCGATTGCTTGACATTCGAATCGAAGTACGTCCTCCAACAAACTAGTTTTTCATCGATCGCCCAATCATTCGATTGAAATTGGGTCACTTGACTATTGTACGATGTAGGCAGCGGATGGCTTGGAAGAAACGTGGCATCCTGACGTACGTTTCTTTCAAATTCGAGCGATGGACCAGCCTGAGACGCCAGTGGTGGCACAATTCTACTTGGATCCGTATGCTAGACCCGGCCAGAAGCGGCAGGGTTCGTTCGTGGAGGTGGTGGTGAGTCGCAGCAAAGTTCTGCGCACGGCCAAAGCCCCCGTGAGACTTCCCGTGTTCTCGATTGTGCTCAATCAAACGCCTCCAGTACGAATCATCTACTATACTACCTTCAGATTGTGCGCCCAGCCAAAAAATACTCGATATATTTGGGCTCATTCCCCAAATCCATCGGTGGACTTTTTTGTACTGAACGTTTTGTAATTGGTCAAGCCATTCACGCTATTTGAAGTCTCAATGGTTGTAGGAGTGTATGCATTTGATTGGCCACTTGAAAGTGCATTGTGGCTTTGATTGGTCTGTCGATTTGGGTTGTTCGGGTCATATTCGATTGAGCGAGCACCCCACTCGTTTGTGCTCGATTGAACGAACCATGCAAAATTGGGAAATTTGAAGAAAATCGACAATTTTTGATCGTATTAATATTATAGGTGGGGGACATGCCTAGCTTGATGACGTTTACAGACCTGGACTTGTTGTTTGGATGTGTGGGGTTTGGCCTTCGCATTGCGCTCACGTCGGCCGAGTACACGGCTGCGTCGGGTATTGATGGCATCGAAGCGGACTCCCTTGGGGTGCCTGTGCGCGTTCTCAAGCGATTTTGCTATCACCGAGGTATACAGTGTCGCATGTCATCCAAACAAAATATATATGCGATATTAAAACCTATTGTTGTAACGCAGAACTGATGAAAAGCATGTCCGGGCACTTTAAAACCGGCCAAGAGTTGCCAGACTCTGAGTTCAACAAGCTTGTGGCCGCCAAACGATTCATGTCAGCCACCAATTTACTGACTCAGCTCTTCTACTCAGCCCTCGACACGTCTGTGCACCACAACGTCACTTCTAACGTGTCGGTGGAGTCTGCGTACGCCCTCTTGCAACAAGTTGGAGCCAAGTACGAAAAAAAACGATTTACATTATATATACTTCGAAGTATATATATTTGACGACTGGAACACGACAATGGTAGATACTGCGCGACACCGCGGTTGCAAGACCGCGATTACTCGCTGTGCAACTTTCGGCATGTGTTTAGCGGACAAGCCGCGGCCACCTATTACAGGTATAAATATAATTCACATATATATATAATTCATAGACATATATAATTCATATACATGTACAATTCATACTACATATACTAGTATATATTATACGTTATTTCAACATTTTGATGATGGAATTCATAGTTACATTTGGGCCGAAGTACAAGGGCATGACGCGTATTCGTATTTTGAAGAACACCCGACAGTGTTAGAAGCCACTGGCAAGCGGTACAGAGACACCATCTTGGCGCTGTCAGGGGTGGTTCACCCGACCAAGGCGTTTGAACTGTTTCGTGGTCGAAAGCAGCGGACTGCAGCTCTGCTGGAAGAATCCGGCTTGCAATAAACTATATATCTCAAATATAGATAAAGGAACGTGACTGTTGTAACGTTAGGGCATCTCCATCGGTAAATTCTAACCTACTACCTCCAGACGGAAATAGACCGACCATTTGACAAAAATTGATGCAATTTCTGTACATTTTAAAATATGGAAATTCTGAAATTAGGTGCGAAAAGAGCAGAATCTATTGTATCCGATTGGCTCGAATCTGCAAAAAAAAACGTTGATTTGAGTGGAGCACATTTAATTGAAGAAGTCAATACTCAAATCAAGATAAAATGATACGGATACAAACAAATTTATCCGAAATACAGAATGTTGGTATCTTTTGAGCGCCAAAACATGGCGCGCAGCCTCATTTGGAATGAAAGAACTTACGTCCGATCAACGCCGTGCTGTCGTCGACCACCTACTCCTCCGTGTAGTTGAAGCT